AGGAAACGTAAGAAATATCTAATAATAATTAATAAACTATCTAATGAGAAATGGGAAAATATATATAAACTTAATGATGTAAATGAAATATTTCATTCTATTTTAAATAAGTATTTACTTGTCTATGACTATTATATAAATAATAAATATTATTCCATTGGGAAATTGTTGGGTGTGGTGTGACTCAGGGATCGATGTTGGGACCCTTAGTCTTTAATATATACATAAATGATTTCACCCTTGAAATAAGTAAAATTTTTGATGTTATTATGTTTGCAGATGACAGTAGTATTCTTTGCACAGCTAACGACTACTATAATTTAAAAATAAAACTGGATGTTGTTTTTAATCATATGTTTACGTGGTTTCAAATTAATCAGTTTGTGTTAGATCTGGACAAAACAAAAATGATAAAATTCACCCCAACAGCAGCTACGAGCTATACTCTATATAACATTGTTTTTTTTTTTAACAAAACGCTGAAAGAAGTAGAACAATAAAATTTCTCGGTTTGCAGCTGGACAATCGTCTGACTTGTAAGGGACATACAGATTTTTTTTCTTCATAAGTTGAGCATAGTTGGTTTTCTAATGCAAAAATTATATTATATATAATTTAATTCCACTCTTAGCCTCCTATGTTGGAGGTAAGATATGAACCACTGCAATAATACACCCTGCACTCCATAGTGCTGCAGTTTAATTAACAGAAGTTCGTGATTGACATAGTCAAACGCCATGGCTATATCAAAATTATACCGGTTACGAACTCTTTTCTATTCCAAGCTGTAGCTATTACATTGGTTAATTTATATATAGCATCTTCAGCTGATAACCCCTTTTGGAATCCATACTGTTCTGAAAGTAGTATTTTATGTGCTACAATATGATCATTGAGTCTTCTATAAATTGCTATTTCGAATACTTTTTCAAACCCAGTTAGTACTTCGGTTTCCCCTGCAAATCTTCATTCTACCAACTGCTCCACAATCACCCTCACCTATCATCTGGGGCTGGTACAATAGGCCAGAAGTGGCCACAGTACAAGGAACTTAGTTCCACCCTACTAGCATAAAAATAAAATACTATATTTATTTATTTATTTATTTCATCTCTATAGATCATTGTTACATGATATAAGACAAGTCAGTTACTGTA